TGTATAAATATTCTATATTGTATTAATGCAAATGTCTGCATTGTTTCAGAACTTCCAGGACGGGCTTGGATGTCTTCTTATACATACACATAAAATAAAACTTAAAAACTGCCTTGAAGTTTAAAAGCTGAAAATTGTGGTCCCATTGAGAATGTTGTGAAATACATCTTGTAGCTGGCCCACTATGGCAACTTGAAATGTGGCTACAGTCTTCATATCTAACCTGGAAATCTGATGGTCAGAGTCAAACTGGAATTATCTGGCTGATAGGCTTAGTCTAGAAACTCTCATCGTGCTTGAACAAGCTGACTGCTGTTCTTTGGAAGGGGCTTTAAGGATAGAGGTGATTTTCTCTGACAAGCTCTCCTTAGAAACTCCTGTGCTGATTCTTGACAAGCAAATAAAGATTCAGTCTTCTAGTTGACGTTAGTAAGCTTTGTGGGTATATCTGAGAAAATATTTGCGTATGTTTGTTTTATATTGTGTCATTGTGAAATAACACATTTGTGCAGTTAGTCAAGTGAAGAGTCGTGGAGATCATTCAGGTAATAAAATCCATTCGTTTTTTCACCTTTGAATTACTGGAAAAAAGCAATTTCTGTAAGTGCTCTGATAGTTCAAGGTAATGTCTGAAAATACTGTGTCCACAAGAAAAGTGAGCTACACATCATTAAGTAGAACCATGACTTTCACTATTCCTTCCACAGGTGTTTTCCATTAGAATATGTCTGCCACATTCAGACCTATTTTAAGTAAATTCACAAGGAAATGCCTCTTTACATGTTTATCCTGGAAAGGCAGATAGGTGTTTTATTTTATAAAGCAGTCTAGAAGTTTTCTATTCTTCAAATGAAAAAATATTTTTCAGAACATAGTAGTGCAGTTTGGTAATGTATTTCTAACTGCCATTAGAGACACTTAAAATTAAAAAATAATAAAATTTGTAAAACAGAAATGACTGTTTATTAGAAATTCTGGTGAAAGGGGTATTTGCCTGCATAATGTTTGTGTAAAAAATTTATGTTCTTTATGTACACTTATTTTAATAAGAACTCTACTGTAACACTTTCCTTTTGGTGATCTTGTAAAATATTAATGTGTAATGATGCTGTACTTTAAGGTTATGATATATCATCTCTTAAATAACATGTAAAAAAGTGTACTGGCTTGCTAGAAATTCTCTCATGACAAATACCTAGCATCAATCATTTCCAGTAATAATTTTTAGTTTTGAAAAACAGCTTTGCTCTTAAAGACAGAACCTGTATCTTACAAATGCTCTACTTTATATAGTGAAAAAAAAAACAAATAAGTGAGTTGTGATATAGACTATATGGTCACTTCATTTCAGTGTCCATTTTCTCCCTGGTTTTCAAAGTTCATGATATCACAAATGGTTGAAAAGAATACATTTGTCTTCTGCTCTCTGTACATATAACTGAGATGCAGTAAAAGCGTGATTTAAATTCTGCAGCTGTTTAAAATATTTAAAGTTTGGTGTTTCTTAAACCATCTGTATCATTTGGGTAAGTGTTGCTTTTTTTGACTTCTTTCCTAATACTCTTCAGACTTAGAGGATATATTAGATATTCAGGAAGCTAAACATTTCTTATTATTGTATTTTTTTTCTTTACATGAAATCATTTAAAGGAGTGCTGTTTATGTAATTTAACTTAATCTACATTGAAAGGCATTTTGTAAGCAACTGAGAAACCTTGGATGAGTTTTTTGCATCTGTTTTAGTAGCAGACTGTGGTTGCAATAATATGAATGTTTTCTCCCAATAGCATCAACGACTTCTTGACATTCTGGAAGCAGAGAAGGAAGTCTTATCAGAAAAGATAGAAGAAGCTTTGATGCAGCAGTCACAAAAGCACAAGGTATTGCTTTTGTTTACAACAAAAAAAGGGCGATCTGATCAGCACCATGGAGATCATTGGGAATGATCCTGTCACATTTATTGACAGGAAGAGGAAACTTTCTTAAGCACTTTGACAGTTTGAAATTATTTTGAGCCACTCCTCTGTTGTGTATTGCAGTTTAATTTTTCACAACATTTGCAGGAAGTGCTGGACAAATGTTTGGATGAAGAAAGACAAAGAAGTAAGGAGGCTGTGGCAGCTGCTGCCAAGGTATCTCTTGTTAATTTAGTAGATGTGCAATGTGGATTCCACGTGTGTCATTAGAAATGCCAAGTTCAGCAACTCGTTTTTATTTCATAACCAGATTTATCAAACTCTGCGTTCTCATCTGTGTTTAAGAGAAGCTAATTCCATTAATCATGAACATACCTGCTATATATTCCATTAATCATGAACATACCTGCTATATCCTATGCCTTGATACAGAGAGTCAGTGTAAATTCTATGGGGGATAACCTCTCAGTTGTTTATGACAAGAAGTCATAATATTGCATTTCAGGTTTTGCCATCCCCAAAATATCTGGTTTTGTGGTCTTTCAACATCATTGCATCTCGATTTGAAGAGCTGGGTGGGAGGTCAAGTGTTCATCTTAGTAAGACAATTATCATTGTGTCTTACTTAACTTTTGTTAAATATGGTTGTTTTCAATGAGGAGAGAACTATTTCATAAATCATTAAAACAGGGACATTTTAACAGGTTTTCAATTATTTTATTTAAGTGAATGTTTGACTAAAAGTGAGTATTCAGTTTTTAAAATATGATTTCTCCTGTCTTCTTCATTAGTAAGTGCATTGGTGTTAGGACAGTAATTTTGTAGATGTGAAGCTATCTTTCATTTCTAATGCTGTTGTAGAATCCAGTTGCATGTAATGATCTGGGAAAACTAGTGATGTATATTACCTAGTGCAGCTCATAAGGCTATATTAGAATTTTCTGTATATTTTTATGTGTATTATATGAACACTAGCTGAGCACCTCTCTGAATAACATTCGATAAAAAAAGAAACATTTGTTACATGGTTGACATCTACAGGAAAATGTGTATAGTAGAATACCTTTATTTAATAGGGCTTTTTTAAAAAAAATATTGTATTTTTAAATATCTAAGTGAAAAATCAAGTGCCAATGAATTGCAAGAAACAGCTTTATTTGTAGGTGGAGGTATCTGATGAACATCATATTTTTTGCCATTTCTGACTTCACTTGCCCAGATCTATAATCACCTCCAAGGGGCATTGGAAAGACCCGTAAGATTATTAAATTGAGGGGTTTGCAAATGTGGGTTTTGGCCCATATTTGCTTATTTTGAACTTCAGTTTGCCATAATTTATTTGTAGATATTATGCAATAGTTATCATGCTGATAGATATATCTGTGTGGCTACTTTGCCACAGAAAACGCTCAGACTTTTGGCACTTCAGAAGTTTGTAGGTAAGAACAGGAATATCTCCTACACAGGAATATCATGGCAGGCCCATGATGTGCCTACTTTTACGTGGGTTTTGCTGCATGATTTTTGTGCTAAGCAAACTAGTTATGAGATACTGTACTTTTGGTAGAGGGGAATTTAAGAGCCTTACTTGTAACTTCCTTTTCCTTTCTGTAACTACACAAGTCATTGTCTGGAGCTAATACCTGCTTCAGACAAATTTAAGTTCACAGTTCAGAAGTGAAAATGCTCATGTCCAATATCTTATCAGCTCGTAGATCTCATTAGGAAAAGGTAATATATTTGAGTTAGGCACTTGTGTTGGGTGTGTTGGTCATCTCGTTGTGCCTCATTTGTTTGAAAGGCTGAGAAAGAAGCAGTGCAGGAGGCTGTTCTGAAAGCAGTAGAGGAGGAGAGGAGGAATATGGAGAAGATTCATGCAGAAGAAAGAAAAATGTGGGAAGCAGAACGTGATAGTCATAAAGAGAAGATTGCCCAGGCTGTTTCAGAAGCCATGGAGGAACAAAGAAAGCAGAATCAGGTTGGTATATTTTACCCTTCCAGTGGACCTGCTTTATGTATTTTATTTTTGCATTTCAACGTCTTCCAAATGTTGTGGTAGATTTTCTTGTGGCATCTTGTCATTCATCAGTGCACATAGTTGATCTTTGCAATGCACAGCAATCTTTTTGGTTTATTTTCATCTAGACTGTTGTGTGGAGAGAGGCTGACACGTAAAGAATAAAATTCCTGGGACACTTAGAGGCACACAGATTGAAATGAGATAAATCATGCCCTCTAAGTGCCTGTTTTGTCCCCTGACTTCAAAAGGAACCAACTCAGAGAGTGGCATTTGTGCTGTAAACAGTTTAGGTGACTTTTTATACCCGTGGAAGAGTAAAGATGTTACATGTGTTCCTTATAGAACAGGTACAAAATAAGGAGAGGGTTATAAAAATCAGAAGCCTAAGCCAGTAATGAACCAGAATTTCTAGAGTTACTCATTAGAGAGGTGCTTCTATAAGGATAATTGTATGTCACCTAATACAAAATGGGAGGGACATTCCCAACATTGCTTTTAGCAATTTTAGGAATTGCAAATTAAATATGTTATAATAGCAGTTAAATTACTATTCCAAAAGTTGATTTCTAAGTCTCTGATGCTGGAAATGTTTGGAGGAACAGCCTGTAAATTCACTGATTTCTTGGTGACATACTTGAATGTTATAGTCATCAGAATTGTAAAGAATTTTTGTTTCATTCACGTGTTGGAATTTGACATGACTATATTTTATGTACTGAATAAGAAAAACAAACAAACAAAACAAAATAAGAGTTTAGAATTTGAAGTAAAATAGAAGTAAAATAGCATATCACACAAACTTAAAAATTAAGTCCTTGGAAACTGATCCCATTTCCCTTTCCTGTGTTAAACAGAATTATTAACTCTACATAATCAGCTGCACAAAAAAGTTGTTTTTTGATGCTATACCAATATTATATCTGTTTTGCTACATTTCTAATGCAAATAGAGTGATTTTATATGGCTTCTTTACTTCTTTTGAATGTAAAGGTATCAGGTGGTAAGATGTCAGTTTTTAAGACTTCCAGTAAACCTTCAGGCACTCAAACTCTTCTTTAGGACAAAAAGGTAAACAGCTGATTTCAAAGATAAATTCGAGCTGAGAACAATTGCTTGGGGTTTAGTTAGATACAAATCATTTTGACTCTCCAGAGTGAGAATTGATACCAGTGGTGCAGAGAACCTGTTGATAGAAGGGAGAGCAATAAAGCAGTTTTTTACTACAGTAAAGAAAAAGACAGTGATTTTTCTGGAACATGAGGAGATTAACATGAGGATGACTTTGGTAATGGAAGCTTGAGAAGGGTTTTGATGGATCCTGAAGCTTTTTGGTGAAGGAGTCCCATAGCTGGGTGCAGGACTTCAGCCAGGGTTCCATATTTCTGGATTTGGGGAGCATGTTAAGTGTCCCAGGGGCAGGAGAGACACAGACTATGTTGATGTAGCAACGTGGAGGTGTTGGAGAATGTTTGGATTAATTGTCCTGTAAATATCTTGTGCTTTATGTAGTCTTGTGTCGTTAATACCATCATTAGTTACATTTCTTTTAATACTGAATAGCTCTGACAACTTTGATTGTAACAGGAATACTTTCTCTTATTCAGTTGTAATAAAAAAAAGTAAAATAAACTAAAAAAGAATTAAAAAAAGTTTCTCCTTTGAATTAGGTTCATTTTTCAAATACCTAACCTATTTTTAATTAGGGAAAAAGGCAGATTTTTCTTAAAATTTCCAGAATTCTTTCACATAAATGTATAGTATATATAAAGTTACACTCTTCTATTTTCTTTTCTATAAGATTTCTCTTTCTGGAGCTGTAAGTGCACTCTTGACTCTCTTGCAATTGTCTAACATTTTAGACAATGAAATATAAAATTTACCTCATTTAATTCTTGATGCTCTGCTGTGTAATTCTTTATGGTTCCTGCTTCAATATTGTCACCCCATACTGTCATTATGTTTAGTACCAACTAATGCAACAACTTAGTGCCATTGAATCTAAGTGAACGTGCAAAATAATCTTTATGGTATCAGACATATAAAAAGAGGTTTAAGAGAAGTATTTTTATTTCAAGAGAATTTTCTGACTAAGACATGATTTTGGAAATTCACACTAGGAAAGGGAAGCCTGATTTGTTTTTAATAAAGTGTCTCTTCTTTTAGTTTATCTTCAGTTTATCACCAGAGGAAATAATCTGTGTGAGAAAGAAAAGATATTTTTATGTTGACTTCTCTGTCTTGTATCACACAAGTAATTGTCATGGAAATCTAGATTAAAATTTTATTTTGCTATAAATTAATCTGAAGAGATTTGCTTTACTGATTTGAACTAAACCAAAGAAATTAAGCATATTATTAAAGACTTTTTCTTTACTAATACTGTTAAGTCTGTGACATTGAAAGATCACAAAGGGTCGGTGTAGTCTTCTGCAAACAGGTGTGGCAGGATGACTTTCAGTCACAGTGCCCATAATTAACTCTAGGAATAATTAATGGAAAAATTTGAAAACATTCAAAATTTTATTATTTTCTTTGAGGTGCAAACCCATTAAAGAAAAAGGCACTGTCATATGCATGGGGCAAGAGTTGATAGAAGACATATTTTAAAAACTACAGCACCACTGTGTATCTGCAGAACATTTAAATTACGAACACAAGGGAAAATAAAAATCTGTGTTATAATGGAATTAATTTGTTGGCTTCTCCTTTACTTCCTAGACCAGAAAAACATGATTAGGAGTTTTGATTCTTTGTTCTAAAGAAGTAATTTACTATCCACTAATTTCCTTTATAAAATAAAATATTTTGGGTTTTTTTGCCAGTTTTTAAAAACAGTCACTGGAAGTTATATGGTTGTATATGAGAAAGCAAAAGGACAAAAACCCCACATTAAATATGGTAGGTAGCATTTCTTAGGTCAGGCAATTTTAGCATAAGAGCAATAAATCTTTCAACATCACACTTGTGCAGAATCAGGTAGTGAAATTTCCCTTCATCTTTTAAATAATATATTTAAAAGAAGAAAAGATAAATCTACCTTGCAGGGATGATACAGGCTTTTTTTTAGACTTTTTTTTTTTTGTGGTGTTGTTACAGAGTAGCCAGGAAGGAGAACAATAGTGGATACAAATCTGGAAGTTTATGCAGATTGCTTCTACTTGTTAGATATTCATGCCTGACAAAACATTGTCCTAAAAGAAGTGCTTGTCCTTAGTCAGATAGAGGTCAAGTCTGCAGATAAGGAGATGCTACTTCCATGCAAGATTTATTTTCTTAATTGAACATTACCAGAGAAAATTCTGGGGACTTGGAGACAGTTTAATAACTAAATCATGATGAATGTCACATATTTTTTTTACCAAATATGAAAAAGCAGAATAAAGATAAATTTACAGTGAAAGTAGGAACTAAGACATACTGAGTTAATATTTCAACTTGATGGAACAACCTTGACATACTCCCTTCTTTTTTTTTCTTTAAGAAATTAAAGGATTAGAGTAACATGAATATTGCATTTGTTCTCATGAAAGCTTTGACTGTTTCAGTGACTTGGGCTCTTTACGTAGAGACATAGGATTTTTAATTAAGTTGAAGGTATTATTTTTGAAGCCTTTCAGGTCTGAAGGGATAAATGAGATATTTTACATCACCAGGGAAATGGCAAAATTTTTTTAGAGCACTCTCGTGAGGCTGGAAGGTATTAAAAGTCCAGATTACTTTCCTTTTCCCTGAGACAGGCAGCATCTTCAGGTTTTATACACATGCTATTCAGGTGCTTTGTGCTTTTATTAAAGAGTTATTTGGTGGTTTGGGTTTTTTTTGATTTAGAAGAGTATTCTTAGGTTTGGGAAAGGTGGGCTTGCATTTTAAATCAGGAGGAATAAACTCTCCTTGATAGAAATGAGTAGTCTTTTAATTAAAGATAATGTTCTTTTGCACAGAAACCTCATGATCCTTTTCCAACATATTGGAAACTCATTACAGATTAGGAACTCATCTATTCAGCAGGGCAGATGTAGCCTGGCATGTCTCCAGTAGTTTGTTTTCTGTTTTCCATACAATGTATTGTGTTTTTTACAGTGGCAACTTCCCTGCAAAGAGAGTTTAACATGTCTGGTAGTTGTCAGTGTTGAGAGGAATACCTGGGGAAATTCTTCCAATGGGGTGTTTTTTTCTTGAACACTTATTTGAATAAACAGTGGATGTCCTCTAGATAAGGAAAAAGTATAAAAGGTAGTTTGACTGAGGCAGAAGCATTTCCCCACAGAATTCAAAATTGCAGGGAAGCTCCTGGGGTGCAACTATAAACTTCAGTGAAAAAACAATGGACAATGCTCTCTATTGTCATTTACTTTACTTTTTTTTTACTCTTTGAAAAAGCTAAAATCCAAAAATTCTTTGGGGATATAGGAAGATGAGATCCATACAATTTTGAATAAAGTAGAAGGATGCTATAATGTATTTATAATTTGTGGGCAGTGCAGAGTAGCTGTACCTCCCATAGCTGTAATGCACAGAGCTCTCTGCATGACAGTTGTTATCATTTTACAAAGCTAAATACTCAGTTACATAAAGGAGGCAAAATTAGTGGTGGGGGGGAGAGAATTAACAAAAGAAGCTAAAGCACCACTATATTTGTTTTAAAATAAATTCATTAAATGTAAAATGAAAGCTGGCAGCTGCAGGGTGAGCCCTAGAAATTTAAGTCTATCTCATAGCTTGAAATTAATAATTCTGCTAAGGCAGTTGAAGCAAAGAATCACCTTTGTCATTTCCTGAAGGCTTGAATTTAAAATACTGTAGATAATCTAGTGTAGTTTACCCTAATTCTCAGGGGTAGAAGAACCTGAGTTCATCATTGCCATAATCCACACAGCAGATCCATTAGAGACTCAAGTGTTCTGAAGGCTGCAAATATTTAGGGGGAAAAAAAAAGAGCCTTTAATTTATTAAAAGAA